CTCCCATGGGGTTGTACTGGAGTATGCAGCTCCCATGGGGCTGTACTGGAGTATGCAGCTCCCATGGGGTTGTACTGGAGTATGCAGCTCCCATGGGGCTGTACTGGAGTATGTAGCTCCCATGGGGCTGTACTTGAGTATGCAGCTCCCATGGGGTTGTACTGGAGTATGCAGCTCCCATGGGGCTGTACTGGAGTATGCAGCTCCCATGGGGTTGTACTGGAGTATGCAGCTCCCATGGGGCTGTACTGGAGTATGCAGCTCCCATGGGGTTGTACTGGAGTATGCAGCTCCCATGGGGCTGTACTGGAGTATGCAGCTCCCATGGGGCTGTACTGGAGTATGCAGCTCCCATGGGGCTGTACTGGAGTATGCAGCTACCATGGGGTTGTACTGGAGTATGCGGCTCCTGTGAGTCCTGTACTGTAAGCCAGCTCCAGCTGCATCCTATTCCCCGCAGACAAATAGTGAAGAACACATAGATTGCATTAAAGATACAGAACACAAAATAATTTTCAGCAGAACCTAAACACCGGAGGAGCAAAGGACGTTCTTCAGGCCCATCATAACACTTATTATTATTAACATCTTTATTGACAAAATTAATTACAATTTTGCCTAATCTGAGGATTTTGATAGTCTTATTAAATTGAGGTTAATGCTAGTATTCACTGTCACGCAGGACAGAGGGTCATACATAAGACAATAGGTCTAAACTGTAGGCTGAAGCACATATATATCATGGTTACAATCAATGTTTTAATGTGTGGATATGTGAAAACAACTTTCTAACACAAGACGGATTGTGTTATAATGAGGCAGCTGACGCCCTCATGGCCACTAGCTGCCTCAAAATAAACAAAATACCAAGTGTTGAGAAGCCTTAATATTTATAGTGAGAAAAAATAATGGTTCGAAGGTTTCTAAAATTTTGTCTAATGCCGACGATCATATAACCTTTTAAGGTTATAATTAGAAAAGACGAGCTGGGAGGGAGGGAGAGAGAGAGAGATGGGGGGGGGGGAGGGAGGGAGGGAGGGAGGGAGAGAGAGAGAGAGAGAGAGAGAGAGAGAGAGAGAGAGAGAGAGAGAGAGAGAGAGAGAGAGAGAGAGAGAGAGAGAGAGAGAGAGAGAGGAGGAAGTGAGGGAGAGAGAGAGGAGGAAGTGAGGGAGAGAGAAAGACATACAGATCTGGGCATTGCTTGGTTCCCTTTCTAGTGTGTGTAATGTGTAATTATAATATTATATATATATATATATATATATATATATATATATATATATATATATATATATATATATATATATATATATATATATATATATATTTCAACCCAAATTAAACACACAATTTCCCGTTACCGTCGACAGCAACGCAATATAAAAATGTTTAAAACGTTAGAGGCTTCCTGTAAATATGGAGTCAGCAGACAGCGTGGTTCCCACGCCTCAATACGCCAATGCCTCATTCATTTGGAAGCCTTGCATCTGCCCAGCTCATTCCAGGCTGAATGAGGTTTGAGCTCGAACGGCGCTCCATTCCCTGCTTATTGAGTCTCGTTCGTTACGAAACCTTGCATCTTAGTGATTCATTTTAAGGCGAATGAGGTTTCGGGTCTGAAATGACGTTGCATCTCTTACTCATTTAAATTCTCGTATATACTTCGAATCTACGTTTCCAAATTCACCGCGAAGCTCAATTATGCTTGAAGCTTAATGTTTATTTTGAATTCCAATATATTTCATACATTAGCTTCTGTTTTACTAAATTTGGAAGGAATGGAACTTAGTTGAGAGCTCAGGCGTTCTTGGTGCGCGCTCATTTCCCTACCAACGCCCTGCCTCACTGATGAAGGTTGGGGGGGTTTAGGCCCAAATAATCCGCTTAGGAAATTTGATTCTGAGGTATTCGAGGCTTCGATGAACACAAACACATGAAAGAACTCAAACGCACCGAAGCATGAAGCTGCAGACGTTCCGGTGCTCTGTGTTGCGTTGCTGTGGTCTGACCAGGAAATTATTATATCGAAATTTAAGCTACATCCATTCATAGTTATAATAGCAGATATTACAGGGAACGAAGGCACTGGCACTGCATTTGTCGTCGGGAATTAAAAGAGAGACTGGGCCCCAGGAGCTAAAGCTCAGTTCTGGTATCCATGTTAGGCAAGAACACACCGCTGGTTGAAAACACCGAAGCTGCTGTCGCAATACAAAAATATTATTCGATCTTGTTTTGGCGAGTGGTAGAGGAAAACGCTTAAGGCCTAACTAAGCTAACTTTCCAAAGGTCTCTGGGGATGAGAGCGTGAATGAGGAGTGTGTGTGTGTTAAAGGTTGAGAGGTGGGATCCAAGAGCCGCAGCTCATCCTCTGCAAGATGAACTAGCTGAGCATAAATGAGCTCAGGATCAGGGTGTATGAGTATGCGCATCATAGTGTGGAGTTGGTGGCACGTGTTGTGAACGTCAGCACCACTCTCACCAGTACACAGTCTCCCTCATGTTTACTGTTGTACGCACCAAGGGTTAAGTCAGGACAATGTGCGTACGGCAACACGCATCATAGTTTACGCTTTTTCTTGACAACACCCACCTACACCCACCACCAGCCACCCACCTACACTCACTAGCAGCCACCAACCTACACCCACTAGCAGCCACCCACCTACACCCACCAGCAGCCACCCACCCACTAGCAGCCACCCACCTTGGCTGGGTAGTGGTAGAGGTACTGGGATTAAAAATAGAGAAAATAAATTTAGTGATTATACTAATATACAAACCGCCAGATGCAACGGCTGAGGAATTCACAGAACAGATAAGCAAAATAGAGAATAGCCTTGATAATTTGGAGAACCCGATACCTGATATTATTTTCCTAGGTGACTTCAACTTGCCTAGTCTCAGGTGGAAAATAGCAAACAATAATATTATACCAGGAAATATATCAGGACCTAACCAACCACAGATTAGAGAACTACTTAGATTCTGTGACAATTTTCACTCAGATATCAGCAGATATCGGAGCCAACGAGAAATGAAAATATTCTAGATCTGGTCTTTACGAACAATGAAGACATTATCAGAGACATTACGATATCAGATACCACATACTCAGATCACAAACTCATTGAAGTGCAAACGACCATCAATACTCAGAATAGACCTAAAACGTTGATAAAGCGAGAGGGGCTATTCAGTAAATTCATTTTAATATATAAAAAGGATAGACTGGGAGATAATAAACAGGGAACTTACAAACATTCCATGGGGAACTGTTCTAAATAATACAAGTCCTACAGAAGGAATAGAAAAACTTACTTCAGAAGCGTATCAAGTCTGTCTGAAACATGTTCCTTTGAGGAAAGCCAGAAAGAGATCTAACGTAGAAAGAGAACGCAGACGACACTATAAACGCAGGAAAAAAATAACGGAACTGCTTATGCAGACACGAATTTCCCGTCAAAGAAGGAATAATTTAAATAGGGAGATTGAAGAAATCGAGCGGAAATTGAAACACTCATATGAAACTGAAGAAAGGCAGTTAGAACAGAAAGCAATTCAGGAAATAAAGAAAAATCCAAAATATTTCTTCTCATATGCGAAATCAAAAGCAAAAACCACTGCCAGTATTGGACCTATTCGTACAAGTGAAGGTTCATACACGGAGGATGACAAAGAAATTAGTGAAATCCTAAAAAAGCAGTATGAGGACATGTTTAGCACTCCAATAACCACATGAAGGTGGAAGATCCAGACATTTTCTTTATGCGGGATATTCAAACCCCGGTAAATCTAACTGATATAAACACGAGCGCACTAAATTTTGAAAAAAGAAATTGAAACATGCCCATGCACTCGGCCCCAGGTCCAGACTCATGGAATTCAATATTTATAAAGAAATGCAAAGTGCCGGTAGCACAGGCACTCAGTATAGTGTTGAGGAAGAGCTTGGACACGGGGGAGATTCCAGATGCACTTAAAGTAGCAGACATAGCCCCTCTACACAAGGGAGGGAGCAAAGCATTGGCAAAAAATTATAGACCATTGC